GTGAACTAGCGGGAGAGCTCCGTGCTTGGTTGCGCGGGTGGCGGCCCGGGTGTCACTGGACTTGTCCTTCTCCTCCCCGCGGGGCTCAGCTGGCGGCCAGGCCGGGGTCTCAGGTGCAGGTGCTCTGTACTGGGAGGAGCTGATGTCTGGGGTGCCCCTTCGTGGTGTTTGGAGGACGGTGACACCCTAAATCCTGTCGTTGCTTCCGCACCGCTGCGCCCGGACCCCGTTAGTTCTGCGGTTCCCAGGAGTGCGGTCCACTGGGGAGGCGGGGCCTGTGCTCCGTCCCGTCTTTTCATTTATTACCAGTTTCCGAAATAATGACTTTGCCCCTAGAATCTTCTAAAGGCAATCAATCGATGGGGCTTTATTTCTATGTTATTGTGAGTTTATTAATATAAACATATTTGGTGTGTTTCAAGAACAGGGCATTTATATTCTAGGGTTTTTTAGGGTCTGGTATAAGACAGGTCTTTTTTTTTTTTCGATAACCATTGGGACTAGCCAATGCTTTGTTAAAAATTCATTTTAGAGCCTAGCAGGTGTGGCTCCCTGGATAGAGCGCTGGCCTGCCGACTGCAGGGTCCGGTCAAGGGCAGGTGCCTTGGGTGAGGGTTCATCCTGGACCGTGGCCGCAGCACAACCAATCCATGTGTCTCTCTCACATTGGGTCTCTCCCCCTCTCTTCCACTCTACAAATCAATGGAAAAGGGTCCTCAGGTGAGGATTAACAACAAAATTTTTATTTTAAAAATATTTTTCAGCCTTCGCTGGTTTTGCTCAGTGGATAGAGCATCAGCCTACGGACTACAGGGCTCCAGGTTCGATTCCGGTCAGGGCACATGCTGGGGTGCGGCTCATCCCCAGAGGGGGGCGTGCAGGAGGCAGCTGATCAATGATTCTCATCATTGATGTTTCTCTCTCCCCCTCCCCCTTCCTCTCTGAAATCAATAAAAAGTATTTTTATTGCTTTCAGGAAGGGAGAGGGAGAGAGAGAGAAACATCAATGATGAGAATCATCCATGATGAGAATCATCCATCGCTGCCTCCTGCACGCCCCCCTCTGGGGATGAGCCGCACCCCAGCATGTGCCCTGATGGGAGCCGGGGTCTGCTGTTGCTTCAATTCTGCTAACATCTCAGTCGTAAAGGGAGGGATAGGACTGTCCCCAGACCAGACGAGGGGGGCGCAGACCCCGAATTCTTCCAGCGCCCCCAGCATCTCCCGCCCCACCTCCCACCCCCACACCTGGAGGCCTCCTTCAGCCCCGCACCCTAGGGTTTCCTTCTTCACATACTTCCTGCACCACATTTGACTGGTGGCTTGGGTTTCTCAGGACAGACTGTGGGGGCCCTGGTGGGGTCCGCAGACACCCGCCTTGAGGGCGTCCCTGGAATGTCGGGGTTCAGCCCCTCACCCCACAGTTTGCCGGCTCCGTCCCCTGGGCTCCCCTTACTGCAGACAGGGAGACGGTCTGTCTGCCGTGGGCGCTCTGTGATGCCCGCGAAGCAGTTTGCACAGCACCTGCCCGGCCAGTGCAGCTCACCTGTCGGAG